ACTCTACTTACATACGAAGAATTGACACTATAGACAAGTGGGCTGATTTGAAAACATGCTGTTGTCTAAGCAACAAGACCCCAACTTTCGTTTAACTCTATTGTGGTTAGTTCGGCTATCGCTTTTTTAATATACCTTTCAAGAATAGACTTCTGATAGCAATGTTTTTCAGTTGATTTGGACATGCCTGTTATGAGTAGGGAGATGAGTAATAGATTTTAATTACAAACGCGGCGCCCCGGGGAGTCGCGGCCTCTTTACAAAAGTGCCGTGAAATATTGTAAAATGTTCAATTTGAGAAAATGTGCAGTGATTTGCATTCTCATCCATTACATTAATTTTTAACTATTAATTTAATGTTAACAAAGTAAAAAAAAATAATGAAGATACACGAATTTTATTTTTTTATCTCTTACTTACGAATAATCCTACTTAGGCTAGGGTAGAATGGGAAAATTTTAATTGAAAAAGGGTGCCGCGACTAGGAAAAATTTGGAAACAACTGCCTTAAAATATTGATATTTACGTACCTTTCATTTCTTTTGAGAAGGCAAGTCGAAGGTATTCGTAGATTGACCTCACCGGATATCGAAGCAGGATTGCCTTGGACTTTTGTATGTTGAATTGTGCGAAGAAGACCTCGGCTCATCGTCTTACGACCCCTATGACTTAGTGCTGAGCCTTCGTCCGTCCTGGGACGGACATTGTCAGTGTCAAAAACCATTATTCACGAAAAATCACAAAAAAACACGAAACCGAGAAAGGTGGCCAGCTGGAGTCCTACTCACTTCTCATACCTTAGGGGCACCCGATTTGGAAAATGGGCTAGAATATTCTAGAAAATAATGCATTACCGAGGAAAGTTTTATTTGCCTTTTATAAAAAGTCCTGATGCCCCACCAACCGGTTTTTCTACATAAAAACATACCTCCTGGTCTGTGGATAAATGTCCCATTATTATCGGGCCTAAAGTTTGATGGGCTTAAGTGAGGCAAAATATATCAAATTGATGCCCCACTAAATTATTCATTTTTTACTCTTTCATAATTAACAGAACTTTGCTGATGGCCTAAAGGACGCCGAAAGAGATGCGGCTAGTGCTATGCTGCCAAAATCAATTGACTTTGATGCTAACACATTTCCTGCGAGAAAATTCATTGAAAGGTAACTTCTGAAACGCAAAAAAGCATGTTTCTCTGCTCATTTCGGCATATAATGACTAACTCAGAAGGAGACTTGAGGCATGGCCTAGACACGGATATAGAATATCTGAATAACAGTATTCAGTTGGCAGAATTAGTTACAGGGACTGGCAACAAAATTTTCCAAATTTACTTGAAGATTAGGCTTAATTTTACATTCCACTTCCTATAATCTAGACCATTCCCTTGCCCCCTTAGGCCAGCGGTTCGAATCTCTGCGTTGAGGATGATGTGACATAGGCAAGTTGAAAATTGTCATCTGGCCCATTTGGAAGAGTAGCAGGCAGAATTTTTCAGCCAAATAAACTTGATTATAATCGCTTTGGCACTCCTCATGACACTAATCGACAGAAGATATGCAATATGAGATGCATTCACCCTATTTCGTACAATTTTCCTACAAAGAGCTGACATTTCCATTGAATTTCAAAGAGCCTTGCATTCGCAAAATTTGTTCTCAACCCAACTGCAGTGGACTGCAGTTTCGTCATTGTGCCCCCAGTTGGAATCGAAATCGAACTCAATGGAAACGTTTGGCAGACTCATATAATCGAGTGAAAATTAATCCACCTGTCCTTTATCTCGTTATGTAAACTAAGCCTCGAAGACCTACTTTGTTTAAATATAAGTAGTATAGCTTTTTTAATGTCAAAATATAAGTTTCATAAAAAAGTAGGTTTTGAAATTATTCTCTTAGTCAAAATTTAACTTTGCCCCATCTACAATCCCACACAAATGAGAACTAAGAGATACTTATCTTTCTTTGAGGTGAACGTTGACCCAAGAATACTCGTGTCAGTTTGACAGTGTATAACACTACAATACTCGGGTTCCATTCACACTGGGGGTGCTTATGGGTTAGACCTTTTAGATCATTGCGGCCCAGGTGAGACTATCTTTTAGGAAGCAGGGCTATGTGAAATTCAATAGAACCCATAGGATTGTGGGAAAATTCAACTATCAGAATCCCATTACTTTATGCTACCTAGTAAGACCAGACTTATTTTTTTAGTATTTTAATTTGTTCGGTGTATTTTTTTTCGTTAATGATCGTTACTGGCTCCTTCAGCGTCTCTCACTGTAAGTTAATCATTGCTGCATTGGGTTTGTAGGGGGCACGCCGAGGACCTATTCACACGCATCAAGGCCAGCCTCCATCGAAATGGACAATTGAGTCAAATTAGGCTACAGTGGATTCTTAAAAATAAAATCCCTGCCGTCATTCATAATATTCTACTTTTTCGTGGGCCAATCAACGGTTTTTGGACTTATGCAACCAAGAGCACATGATCTTTACGGGCGACGAATTGAATGGCTTTAGAGATGCCGATTGTTATTGCATTTTTGTAAAGGCATCCGAGCCGAATGTGAGAGGGTTGTGTAGTCAAGGCTATAAACTTTCTGGAACTTTAGACTAGCCTTAGAGTGTCATGTGTGCATGGCGGTAGCAGATCTTCCACACAAAAGGCTTAAACTCATTTATTCTAACTCTGCCTGCTCCAGCTACCGTCGCCCACGCGCCGGTACCTCTTTGCCTTCGCTGCATGCGGGTCGTCCTGGAATTTACGACCAGCGCCTGGCGACTGCCTCAGAGCCCGAGATTCTGAGTCCTCGTGACTCTCGTTCAAGACAGCTAAAGACCCGGCCGGCGGGAACTGGGGTTGGTCAGCATCTGAGGCGCCCGATGGCGGCCAGCGGTACCGATGCCGACGGGGACGATGAAG